ATAGCCTGCCGTGAGCGTCATTCGTTGCCTTTATGCTAACTGCCTGCTAGCCGGTTCCACCTAACAGAGCCAATTGTGAAAAATTCGTAGCCTCGGTGGGAGTCGAACCCACACGGCAGGGAAGGCTTTTGCGCAGCCAACGCTCTATTGCATACTCAACTAAACTAGGCCAAATTCTACCCTTCCTTATATTGTTATAGTAGCCTGATAATGAATAACCGAAAACGTTCGTTCGCCTAAATTGACTTCATCAATGCTTACATGGTTATCAATATCAGTTTATTGAGGGATGTGTAGATAAATTACCTTTGAGGTCCCCATTTGTACATGTATGTCATGGTAGCAGAAAAATTGTATCTCAGATTGTTGGCGAAGCCAGTTGTCCTGACTCATGGGGTGTAAAAATAGGGGCTAGGGGTATCTAAGGTTGTAAGCCAATTTTATTGTTACCCTAACTTATGTGCAATTTGGCGCAAAACCCTCCGTATAACAGACGGTCTCTGCGCACATTTTCCGTTTGAGGGGACCATACACAATCCTCACCGAATGGTGTTGCAAATTCACTCTGATTAGTTTGCTTCAGTTATTGCCAAGATGACTTGAAAGGCAGTACTTAGACCGGTTAACATTTTTAAAACATCAAAGAAGTGTATAAAAAGCAGGAGACTATCCTAAACGTAATGACCAAAAGACTAAATTGTGTGGAAAGTAATAGCTTTTTTTAAGAAATAACGGGAACTAGAAAAAACTCACGAGACCAGAAACCCTCTTCTGTGGGATGAAATCGTGTCACTGATAGCCAGGTCTGCAGCAAACGCCCTGTCGACTGAGCTGTGCAGTCAAGAGACTAACAGTTGAGCGAATGGGCGAACATATTTTTAGTCTGAATGACTGTTTTGCCGAAATCGCAAAGTAAACATTCTACGTACAGAACATTAACGGTTGAATCGGTAAGACATGAGAATACCGGGGCTGTCCACCAAGTGGGTAAAAAACAGGAGCACATAGTGAAGCAGATTGTGGGAAGATGTCGCAGCTGAAATGTCGATGATTCACCTAATGGGCTAGCTATCCTATCCCTCGAGGCGTGGACGTGATTTAAGCTTAACTTCAGACAGCCACGTCCGGCTAAAAAAGCCAAAATGGCGTACGATAGTGATTTGTAGATGTATGCGTTAGTACCAGTTGTACTAACGCAACTACATTGCTAGCTAGCTAGTAGTAGTAGTAGTAGATATAAGAGTAGCCGTATCCGCCTCGGCCTCATTGAGCCTGTCTTGACACCTACTGAAGGTCAGTGGGGGTAGATAGTGCGGTAATACCCGCGCAAAGTCTACTGTCACCTAACACTGCATTGGAGAAAGCGGTCAACGCCGGATCCAATCTGGTCCTGGCTGGCTGGCTAGTAGCCCTTGTTGGATCAGGAGCCCCACCGGGTGGGCCTCAATCCCGGCGGCGAGGAAGGGGAGTCGGAGCAGCATGATCGGGAGGGGCTGCTCCGTCATCAAAAACACAAATAGAGAGGAGGAGAAATAGATCCACCGTTGGGAGATTGGTGTAGCAGACCTTGGCCGCCGCGAGGGCGGGTGTGAACGCGATGGAGACGCGTCTGCTGTGGTTCCCCCAATCTGGTCCTCCTGACG